ATTGGAGAAGCACATGTTAATGTACATTGAGAATGGCTGGCTGTGTCAAAATCAGAAACATTTTATTGCCAAGTGAGACAATCACAGCATGATGCATGACTATTAGCGTGCAAGAGCATACACAACATATGCATCCAACATTCCAAGGTTTAAATAGAAAATATTTTGTCGCTCATGCTTCAGAAGAAAAGATAAGCTGCTGGGCAAACTTCCATTCGTACAAACAGGAAGATGCTGAACACACAAGACAGTGTGAAGTACAGTGCAAGGGCACTAAAATAATTGACACATAAAAGAGCACAAGATTATTTAATAAATACAGATGCATGCTACTGAAAATACAGGCCAATGGTTGTGCAGTTTAGGTTATAGTTTAACTGCTGTGTGGTGACAGTGTACAAGAACTGGCACAGGAAGCCTAATGGTATTAAGCCAGATAACAGAGTTATAAAAGTATCAGTGTGTAATTGAATAGATGGTCTAACAGTTGTAATACAAGCTACAAGCTGTAGTATAGTTTAGAAAGCATCAAGAGAAGTATAGAAAGAAAGGTGTGAGTTCGAGGTAGTCCTTCAGAAGATTGTTTCAGGGAGGAGACCATGGATGTGGAGTGTTTTACAGGCGACGATAGCCTTCTGTGGGTGGCTGTTTTGTGAAGAGGTGATTGCTGTGTTGGTTTGGGAGTGGTGTACATGTAAATCCTCTCAGGTGTCTTCCTTAGTCTGGACAAGTACATAAGGAGAGAATGGAAACAGACAGAAACTAGGCCTGAGCCGACTGATGATAGTATCAGAAATCGCTGATGGATTGCATCTATTTGGGTCATTGTCAAGTTGGCCCTTTTAAATGTTAGAAAACGCACCATCCGCAGCTATATGATGTACAAAAGGACATATGTCATGTAATCTGTGTTTAGTCCTATATCTGTACATTCTGATATCCGATACATTGTTTAGCTTTAAAACATTCTGTTACAGCACGAGGCAGAACTTCTATCTATTTTTTTATTAGCCATGCTGCAGCCTTCCGTGCATGGAAATTCCTTTCTCACAAAACCTAAACGTTGGCTTAACTTCTCATTCCCATGGGACAGTCATTACTAACACAGGTGGAAACCAGCTATCTACAGGACTGTGGGTGGGAGCGGGACAAAACGTTTACCTTAGCATGATTCTGACCAGAAACATGAGCATGTTTTTTTTTCTCCAGTTGAAGCAGTTTTTTCTGTGGCATTACTGCATTACTTGCCGTGCTGAAACTGGTTACTGGACAACAGTGCTGCAATTCTCCACTGAGAGGCTCCTCTCTCTGTTGGTAAACAGCAGCCAATATTTCAGGCAGTATTTTTCCTTTTTTTTTGGCTCTTACTTGCCTGCCACCATGGTGCCTCCCAATGATTCTGTGTTGGATCTATCAATGGTATATTGCACACAATCTCACAAGCTTAACAGGAACCAGAGAGTGATGGAGGTAGTGAGGGCACTTGAGAGTAGAAATGGGTCAGGGTGGACTTAGAGAAGTTCAGTGTCCTCAGCTGGCACTAGAACAACCTTTGCTCAGCCTCCTTGACAACAGAGGAAATTTTACTTTCCTGCGCTGGGCACTGCTTAAAGGAAAGGCAGGCAGGTGGCGTGCCTTCAGCAGCTTGACCAATGCGTCATTGGAGAAGCGCACGGTAATGTACACTGAGAATGGAACTGGAGTATCTTTAATTGTTCATCCTCATTTCCTTTCCTTGCATCCTTGCGTCTTAGCTCCTCCTTCTGACCGTGCAAGGATAAGATGTGAGAACAGAGGAATTGACACCAAATGAGACTTTCTTTACCTGTTACTAGGCTTAAAGGATCTGCCCGTAATAAGCACTTATATCCTATTAACAACTGACTTTTCACATAAGCAATGCTTTATTGAAATTCAGAAACATCTGGTGTTTGATAAACTTTCACTAAACTGTCCAATAAAAACCGCAGAAGGAAGGCAGAGAATATTGTACCACAGACCTGTGTCACATGCTACAATAAAAAAGACTTGCGTGTGGGATTGAGACTTCTGTGTTGAAATTTGCTTGTACAGTAAAGGATGCAGGAGGGGGTCCTTGACAGATTTGAATAGGTCAGTGCCAAACTGGCCATTCTGAGCCTGAGGGACCCAGTGTAATGGGCAAATAAATGGGTTGATCATGCCCGAGTGATGGCCAGACAGCCGTGTCCAGTGAAGAGGCATACGCAGGTCATAACTCAGCCACACAGCAGCCTTTAGGCTCATGAAGCTAATGCACGGATAAAAGCATTCCACAAGTGCAATTTGTAGGTCAGAAAAGGACAAATGTATCTATGTACAGCTACACAACTCAACCTCACAGGTAGATTGCATCTTTCTTAGGGTTTAGACAGACTCTTAGGACATTTTCAGTTTGTTCGGGGCAGTATCAGTCCATACGGGCGTCATGAATAATCTATTACTCTTGACCATGGACACTATAAGATGCTGGCACAGGCACATGGGAACTATGCATCTGCATGTGATGTACTTGTAAAGCATTAATGCATAATTAACCTTTAATAGTCAGTTCTTTTTTTAATTTAAATGTTATGCTTCACACATTTGACATATTTGCAGAGTGTTGCGACTAACCTACAGACTGTGGATCCTCTTAGCTAATGTCTCCAGCTCCTTTCTCCAGTAACCTGTTTCAGTACAGCAGGTAATGTGGTAACTCCACAGAGAAGCTTCATTTTTCTGCTCAGTGAATAATTTGTTCTTGATCGCAGTTTGGTTGTTAATGATATGATTTGGGTTTCTTTTGCTGTAGAATTAATAAATCAGCTATTAACAGCTAAAAAATAGCTTCTTGTTAAAAATAATACAACAGCTACAGCTTACTGTATGAAGTCAGCCTCTAGGCTACTGTTATTGTTGCTCTCCTTTACTGTTACTGTAGCTTAGTATTATTATTAGGCTATTAATAATAATGGACTCTGTCTTATCTGTTTTTATCAATTTTGAGGTAAACAAAATATTAAAGTTGATCGGCAATCAATTCATGATACTATCGTGAGTCGGCTCAAGCCTAATGTAGACATTGAGGAGAATGAATGAACTGTTCTTCTTTTATAAAGTGGTGAAAGAAGTAAAGTTCAGAGGAAGAGAAATAATCGTTGTTCAGAAATTAAATGTGAAAGAGTGCAATAAGGTGTTAACCTACATATTGCTTGAAAAGGAAACTGAGTGACTGTACACTACGGAGTTCGTGGGGTCGGGGGGTTGTTCCTCCACTGAGGGGCAAGGATATTAAAGCAGTAAAACCTAGTGTTATGGGTATGTTTAGATTTTAAGGAAGGATATGTCAAGGGCCTAAAAGTCAAATTCTTAAGCTGGTGTGCAGAAATGTAGTTCTGGACCATGGTGCAGAGAGATAGTGAGGAGCTGAGCCCTTTGAGGCCTTGTATGTGCGAACCAGAGCTTTATATCTGATTATTGCTTCCACAGGAGCCAGTGGAGTGATCTCAGCAGAGGTATCACATGGGAGAACTTCAGGAGGTTATGGACCAGATGAGTCACAGCACTCTGAATGCTCTGTAGAGAGGAAATGGAATATGATGGAAGGCCTGCATGGAGGGCCTTGCAGTAGTCAAGTCTGGAGATGGCTAGAGCTTGATCAAAAACTTGAGCAGGTTCTGCAGTCAGGAAGCATCATATTCTCCTGATGTTGTGAAGTAGGAATCTTCAGGATCTCGTGGCAGATATTTGTGGTAGGAGAAATCAAGTCGATCGAGGTTTTAAAGCCCTGTCTAATGGATGGATTGTGTCGGAGTAGTGATAGAGAGATCCAGTGTTAATGTGTGCTTTGCAGGTAGGTTAATGAGTTCTGTCTTGTCCAGTTTACATTTTAGGTGATGGGTTTCCATCCACAAAGAGACATTAGAAGGACAGTCCAGTGTTAGTGAGAACTGAGTTGGTTGATGGAAAGGAGAAGTACCACGGGGTGTCATCTTTGTAGACATATGAGTTTGTCACTGATCCCAGTGACTTAGTGTACAAGGAGAACAGAGGTGGACCAAGAACTGACCCCTGGGGAACTCTAGTAACACTGCTGAAGAAGGTAACGGTTGAGCACCGAGGCAGCAACGTCCATAGAAAAGGGGATGTGCTTGTGGACTAGGGGGTGTCCAGAAATGAAAGGAAAGGACAGGAAAGAACAGTGCTGGAAGACAGCATTGGCTTTGTTTATCCATCGTAGTTGTGTTTTTATTCTGTGCTATGCATAACATTTGCAAAATTATTAGGAAATTAAGAATTTTGAGAAATATTTTGCTCAATAATTGTTGTGCCTAGCTATAAGCAAGGTCCCACACAATGGTACAACTTTACGTGAACAGTAAATTTCCATGAAACATCAAGTCAGAGGACAAACAGGACATTATTATGCATTCAGAGCAGCTGCATTGCTATCTGAATCAATCTCCCCCTCTCTGAGCGAGAGAGAGCGAGAGCATTATCCTGAAATGATTTGATTTTTTGCGATCATTTGATTCTTCAGGGAAGAGAAAAGAAAAAGCTTTACAGGTTGTGCGTGTCAGAACAATCTCTGTGATCATATAAAGTCATCACAAATCCCAAACAGGAGATCACCAAGCGCATTATGAGGTGACGGATCTGATTGAAAAAATGCCCTGCAGAGCGCTGAAGAGTTTATATAGTCCAAAACCCATTACTGCTAGACGAGTCATCATTAAAGTAAACTCAAAGTGATAAACTTGATCTGAATACACAATAAAACTCTTAAACACGAGTACTTATTTTCACTGCTGTCTTATTCATAAGTGCTATTACCTCTTCATCAATGTAACCCACAATGATGAACTCGTATGTAACCCATACTGATGAGCATTTTCATTGAGAAATGCTGCTGAAGACTGTTCGCATGAGTGCTGAGAATATTGTCCAGGTGTGCCGTGGGCTTTGTGCTTATAGTGGACCCCTCTGTCTGTGTGCACTAGGCCGGTACCTGCGTCTGAAGATGTTCCGCGAGGACCATGGCTCCTGGATGACAATGTTCTTCAGCACTATCCTCTTCCTCTTCATCTTCTCTCACATCTACAACCTCTTGCTCCTCATGACTGGAGGCATGGGGTAAGACTTCATATGTTTTGTGTACACACTTCTGTGTTCCGATATTCTGTGTTCCGTATGTGTGTGCTTGATAACGAATGATAGAACCACAGCCATCATCAAATTATTGATAATTAAATAGAAACGAATAGAAACTGTAAATACTGAACTTTGTCAAGAAGAGCTCTGGAAATAGTTAAGCTAATTCACTGACACACATCAAATCAGTGTTTTGTTTATTTAAATGTATTCTAATGTTAGTTTTTTTCTTTATTTAGTAAATGTTTCCTGACCAGAGACAGAGCTTTACATATCTCAGATGGCCTAAGATGTTTGCACAGTACTGTATGTCACAGTCATTGTTTTTTTTCAGCACTAGCATGGCTGTGACTAGTGTGTGGATGAATTACCTTAAGTTTTCTCTTAAATGTAGGCACTCATGCCTTAAAGATTGTAGCAGTCATTTTGGCTCCATCATGTAAGAAGATGGATGCCCCACTGAGGGCCCATATCTCTTTACTTCAGTCGCTGTTTCACGCTAATGTCTCCGGTTTCTGACTCGACTCACAGCTGAAGAAGGACGTTTCATTTCTCTCTCAGATTGAGTGTGTTTGTGTGAGTGTTATGACCACGATACATCTCTCCAAGGTTACTCTCAGTTGACAGAAGACACACCAGTCATTTATGTGCATAAGGCCTGATGGCTGTCCTTTTTTTGTCTCTCACCATAAAGCACTTTCAGACGCTTGATGACACAGATTTTAGAATGTTTTTAGTTAGGATTATTTGTTGGTGCTCTATCAGTTTTGTACATGTGATCACATTTGTTAAAAAAGCCACATTTGTTATACATGTTGTAAGGCCTTTACACACCAAGCGCTGTTTATTCGGACAGCAGTACATTCATTAGAGCATGTGTAAAACAGATGGTATCTTGCACACTAAATGCAGTTTTTCAGACTGGGAAAATGCAACATTATTTTATTCTTGAACTCATTTTATAACATGAACTCAATAACCAATCACGTCGTCTCTGGTGTTGGCATGGCATCAACCAAGATGATGGATCAACTGTGCCCCAACAACTAGAAATTTTTCATACTTTTATACTAGAATCTCCAAAAGCAGCTCAAACAGGACTCAAACTGATGTACAGACATAGCTGTTAAATGCGGAAGCACTTAAACTTTCAGCTTCTGAATGAAGCGATGAAGCTCTCTACGCTACTACGCTAAGGGCAGTTTGAACTAATCAAACCTGTTCTTTGTGTTTAAATTATTTGACTAAATAAAAAGAAGCAGAAAGAAATACTAACAGATGACAGTTATTTATTATTAATAGAATAGAATAGAATAGAATAGAATAGAATAGAATATATTTTTTCTGGACAGGCAACTCAAATCCAGGGAAATCCTGGGTGAGTGGCAACCCTATATGCTGCTTGTTTGTTTTTGGTTTTTTTTGTTTGTTTTTTTGTTTGTTTTTCATGTTTAAATGGTTAAGATGTAAACAAAGTTGTTCAGAGTAAGTCTGGGCAATATGATGATATTTATCGTTATCATGATAAATTATGTCACAATGTATTTTATAAAGTATTTTATGGATATTGTGCTTAAAGAACACTGAACAACTGCATGTTTCATCACCAATAGAACATAATTAGTCCTGTTTTTAACGTTGAATAAAAATCATTGCGCTTATTTTTTCAAATGTACTGTGGTCTTATTATTATCAACATTACATATAAAAACATATCAATTATATATGAATGTAATAAATGTAATGGGTTCACTGAGCATTTTTGATAGTAAATAAAATGGCTATATTTGTGTTGTAGATATCACAACCCCTGGTTCCTATCACTACCACTGGAGTCTGTATGTTTCTCCACAGTTTAATTATTTCACATCAAACCACTCTGAATGACGTTGTTTGTGTTGCAACGATTGAATTGTGCAAAAAATTTCAAATATTTTATTGAATTTCCCTTTAACACTGATCTTATTGAAATCAGTTGTGTGTAAATGTATGTTTTAATGACTTTCATGTTGTTTTGTTTTTTAGAATGAAAACCGATCCGAGCCCATTTGTTGTTTTCCTCATAAATTTTGTAGCTTGTTTGTCCACTCTGGCCTGGAAATGCTGGTGTTGTGATGTGTGCTTTGGGTCATTTAGTATGGATTGTCGAGGGCATGTTTCTATGGTGAGCTCGTTTCTCACACACTCTAAGCCTTGACAGAGACATCTATCATAGCCACTTGCTCCGACAAGGGGAGAGACAGGAAACACATCACTGAGTATCATTAGTCAATGAAGAATTGATCTATAAATGCAGAGTGATACGTAAGAGTAAATTGCATTATCTTACAAAGCCTTTGCCAGTATTCTGATTTACTAACAAACATGCAGAAGGAAGTGCACTCCTCTAATTGCAACTTGTGTTGCTTTGTTGTGGTTTTATAACAGCTTAATTAAATTTGGCCCAACAACCATTATAGTCTTTATTTAATCTGCCACCCCCCTCACCTCCCCCCCAGGAAGCCTAAAACACAGTTAAATCATTTGCTGCACATCAGTGCCAATAGGTGGCGCTGTGACACAGCATGTGAGTCCATCAGCTTACAGTCAGAGTCTCCTCCACCGTACCTCTCTTTCTGATCTGGACTGCTCCTGCCTTCTCTCTCCTTCTCTCTCCCTCTTTTCCCCTTTTCTCCTGCCCATCCTGTCAGGGTCTCAGTGAGGACTTTTTACTCTGTCTTGAGAAATTAGTGTTTACACCTGTGTAGACAGCAGACACGTAGGGGGCTCAGCGTGTTTACTGCAGGAGACCTGCTACAAACAGAGCACCACACAAAGGGGGGGGGGAGAGAGAGAGAGAGACTTCAATTTAAAATATTGAATATTAAAATATTTAAAATCTCATATCCAAAACTACACATATTAGAGATGTAAATTTGTTTTCTATTCTTTTGATTAGCATGTTTAGGGATAAACAATAGTTCATTTTTAAATGCGTCAGGATTCTCTCCTGAAAGACTAGGATTTTATATAGGCTTTGCGTTTTCCACTGTAAAATAAACACACACAGCCGGAGACATTGTGAAATGGGGTATTTGTCACCACTTGGAAGAGGGAAGAGGAAAAATGAAGCATATTTTCATGTATGTGTGTATATAAATATGAATGAAATAAAAGTCCTAAAACCATAGCAAACACTACTTGTTAATGACATAAAAAGTCATAATATAGACTATAGAAAACTAAAGTCAGGGTGCATTAAAAAACGTTTTATTATTGCATCTTGATGCCCTGAATCAGAATCGAATCCTGAGGTGCCTAGAGATTCTCACCCCAAATAATCATGCTTCTTAAGTATAGGCTGTCTCTCAACACCTCTCCAAACCCCCGAAGAGAAAGAGAGAACTACAGAAAGAAAGTTGGCTTAGAACAAAAGTACGAGAGGAAGAAATGAGATTCTGGGCTTGTGAAAAAAACAACCGAGCGCGATAGAGAGAGGGAAGAGTTCCGGTTCTAATGATGCAAGGGAATGTTTTAGATGTGTGTCCAAGTATTTTCCCAGGTTGTTTCAGTCTTTTCTGTTTCCAGTATATGGTGCTGTTGACTCAACTGAGTAAAATCATCAGGATCGAGTTTATTCAGTGTCCAGTTGAGTTGCGGTTTGTTTATTTCATGATATAGCAGTAGCTTTAGTTGCCGCCTGAAAGGCAGTACAGTGTCACACAGCGAGTTTGTGTTCATTTGCATAACTTTTGTCTCGTGCTGTCTGTCTGGTGTTTCTGTAGGTGTGTTTTTCTTTGTTAAGGTGAACTTCTTTTGTCTGCCTGATTGCTCTTCCTCATTGTGTAGCATACGTGTGGGGCTTTGTTTCATTTCCACTCTATACATTTGCACATCTGTGTGTCTGGGCTTTTGGATGCTCCTCCTTTTCTAGCTCTCTAGGTGTGTGTTTGCGTGCGTGTGTGTTTCTGTCTTCCTGCTGCACCTCTCTCATGTGTGAGGCCTAGAGCTGTCTGTCTCACCTGCTGTCTTTCTGCTCAGACAGCATCTGTTGCCTCTCATCTCATCTCATTGATATTCTTTTATTCTCCGTGACCTTCCTGCCTGCAGGGGGCCTATTCACCCAACACCCCTCCACCACTCGCACAGAAATCACATTTAGGCAACAGAAGTGTGCATTCGTCCTTGCAGTTTCTCTCTATTAAATAAGTCATATTAGCATTGCACATTGGATTAGATTTTAAAGGTGTGTCGGGTTGGATTTTTTTGTAGTTGAATGTCTTTAAGAGACAAGAAATTGGTTGCTACCCTTAAATGGCAGTCACATTCATTTAGAGCTGGGTGATATTGTTAAAACAGCAGTTTTTCTTCTTTTAAATTACACTAAATTATAAATGTTAACCAGACACAGTTCAGAATTCCAGAAAGGATTTTTTAGTTTTTTTTTTTAATTCTTATTTCAAAAAACGTGAAGCTCCCAATAAATGACAGTACAGCACAGTTAATTATCAGGCCCCAGATACCATGTGTAAAGTGCAAAAACAGAATAAAGACACCCCTCATTTCTTTAATTTTCAGTCAAAGTGGTCTTTAAGTACAAGTGATAAATTTTTCAGCATCAAGAAATAAAGAAATAAAGCAGAAAACACATTTTTAACAGACAGTTACACGAAAACCTCATCAAACTAAATATAACACATTTTTGCTTTAGTGTGTCCACACTTTGCATTTATTACAGCTTCCGTTCATTTGAGAGACTTGCTTTCAGTGTTTCAAAGAAATCTACAGAGATGTTTTTCCCAAAGTTCAGTCTTATAAGTTGGTTGCATTTTCTGCTTTTCATGATCCATGTAATCCCAAACACATTCAGTCTCGTTGAGATCTGTTTTTACATCTATTTTCCTATGACTTTCCCTGTTCCTCATGCAAGTGTATTACCTTTTTATATATTTTATATATTTTTCTTCAGTGTTTTCTTCAGAAATATCTCCTGAGCCATGAAT